CATGGGGTTTCAGTAGTTTTTCAAATGACGTGACCGTGTGACGAAAACTAACTTGGGACCAATTAATCTCCACAAACTACCAACTGACCATATATTTATACAAAACTTTGAATCAGAATTCTACCAGCGGTTATTTTTAACAGCAGTCACTAAGTTCCTACACTCAACCAGTCAACATGCCAACAAATTCACAAGAATATAAAACCCTTTGATACCTTAGAATCTCACTGAATTCCAACCAGTTTACATTGCCGATTGACGTTAGCTGGAAAATAAAGGAAAATTAAGAAGCGTTTGATAGATATCTCTTCCTAATTTTTGACAAATTTCAGCCACGAAAACTGAAAGTTGTGAGCTCATTTTTTAATATAGCCTGGAATGTCCACTCCCGAACCAAGGTAAAATGACACTCCTCTATAACGTTTCACAATAATCCAGTTATCTGAAATAGTTGTAGTGATAAAGCGCTCCAGGAAACTCGAAGAGTCAGGTATGTTGTTTTGTATAAGTATGGTGTAAATTAATTTGTTAGATCTGAGAATGTACATACACAAATCTATAAATGTGCTTAGATAGGGTGTATACTGCCTTAGTAGTTTCATCAATATGTGTATATAAGTGCTGAAAAATTAACTGTAGTACACCGCACTTAGACAAGCATAGTTAAATGACATTTGTATATTCAGTTTAACTAGCAAACTTTTATATTTATAGTATCTGTTACACTTACCACACCTCAATGTAATTTGATTTTTCCAATTTACACCATTTGAATCGAAGTGCAAACTGAAAGTTTTATTTACTTATTTGCCCTTAAAACTGGGGATTTGTGCAGCTAAAGAGCTCAAGTTTATATAAGGCTCAAGAATACAACTGCCTAGGCACTTTCCAACCCATCACTACTTAATTTTTGATAAGTACTGTTGCTCACTGAACCCCCAAAAATAAGTTTCAAATCAGTAAAACAACTAAAGAGGAGGAACCCCTTCAGACTCAGGAATATATAATGAGTGCTACTCATGAAAATCAGTAGGTTCTTTTAGCTACTTACATTACCCAGTCTGTTACAGACTGCCATCATCAATTTTAGGGAAGATGAGGCTAAACATCAATTGATACGAATTTAATTTACTCCCTGTTAACCTTTTAGTAAAACGAGAACAACAGGCTTTCAAGACACAACGAATCCATACTATTTCGTTGCCTCGTCTTCAACTGAGCACAAGTTAAAAAATGACAGGACAATAATAATCTACATACTTGAATAACAAGTTAAAAGACAGTAAAAATAATGTGCAATTTTGTTAGCATAAATCTTTTGTGTTCGTAATGATATGTAGCTCATTGTACACTGAACTATGTGGCTGAATTGGATATTTAGCTCACGTATTGATACAGTTGGCTCATCATGATCTACTGATGACTACCTTGGACCCCAATGGAATGGAATAAAAAGACTGAACTGCTGGCTGATTGACTGTGTATCCCATAATCGTTCAAACTAAAGAAGTGGAATAACGAAATAACACAGTCACTTGAACTATAGAAATCTGACATAAGTAAAATAACTGCAATTCAACCATCACAGGGTCAATAGTTTGCTAAGAGTTATGTGAAAGCTGACTGAGATCTTATTATTTCATTCCTGCTGACACCCGCGAAGTATAACTGGATTGTCATAAACTGTTATCTAGTGTCTCATTATTAAAATGTCATTTGGAGTAGTTACTACTTCCAGTGAAATTGCAGATTGATGGGGGATTAATTTTGAGGTTATCATGCATGCCGGGAGTGTTCATTGATTTGAGCTTTTATCAGTCATTTTGATCAAGTGAATAACTAACAATAAGGACAAACTATAGCTTGTTTTTGTTTTTAAGCTCTTTTAGAAAGTTCTGCACGGTTATCCGGAAAAACTTTAGTATGAGGTTTTTGGTCACTTAAAGGCAAGAAACTTGATTTTACCTAGTTCTGTGTACAGGCCGGACTGTACTGATTATTTCGCTCAGTTGTACAATCTTTGACCACAAAACTGAATGACCTAGGTCCAAATCTCAGAAAATATCAGTCCCAACTGGGTTGCGGAGATACAGCTCATTGGTTTAGAGGAATAGCTTTCAACCAATGAATCATCCATTTGAATCCCGCTTCACCTGTCTAGGTTTGAGCAGCCAAGTAGTATCTTTGGGACTCACACAATAGGTGTGGCTCGTTGTCTACAGCGTGAGTGTGTCCAAGTTTACTGAGCCCATTTTTGTTTCAATTTTCCTACTCTGGTTACAGATATACCTGGTAGACGACTGCTAGCAAACATGAAACCTAGCTGGAGTATGGCTTCCTACCGCAATCAACTAACACAGTGAAATTTCATCGTGATCGTCAGTCTCCCAGCATAGTGTCCACACAGAAAAATTATCCATAGGATTCAATCAGCACCACTGACTAGGTAACATGAATCTGGTTACTCTCGATTGAGAAATTATTGCAAAGTTTCACATCCATAAATAAGTCGTTTATACCTGTGTTTAAATCTAGATATAACGACACTGTGGTCTAGCGCTAATACTTTTAACAAATCTTCTCGAACTCATAAAACAATTTTGAAAATATCAGCAATTTTTTTATGGAAACAAACGAAATTCTTGAAATGAAACCATGATAATTAATACGCATAACTTTTCACCCTACCCATTATGATTGAAATGTTACAAGCAATCGATGCAAACTAATCTATAGTCAAAATGCAGGTCACTTTATATTTGTGTTACTCAGTCATATTTCATGGCTTAAATTCCGATAAATTTAATCAATATTCGATTGCTGAATTGATGAAAGGTGATTCACCTTATTGAGCTCCAATTTTTAAGTCTTTACAAAAATATTTCACTAGAATTCAGTATCTTGACTAGTAGGACATTGTTCAGGCGTAGACAACGCGGTAGATTAATAAATTTACACCAAGTGTTTAAGACTATTACTATTGGGTTTGTTTTCCTGTGGGAAGATGGCAGCTGTAGCTCAGGTACATCCAGTTGATCAACCTGAGGTAGCTCAAAACATATATCTTCAGTTTGGCTGCTAATCACTACTGAAATCACTGGCTGTTGTATCGGTCAAATCACCTTTATTAGAAGACTCTGTCAATACACACGAGTAAGTCAGCTGAATTTACCTTTAAATTAGAACGACAGTCAGATTCTAAACAACAATTTTCGGGTTATCAGTTTGAAAGCGTAAAAGTAAGACTTCAGTTTCTCCTGCATAGTTTTTACCATAAATGCAAGACATAGAGCTATTCTTTACTTCATTATTGTATCATTATCCCTTCAACACATTGGAAAAGGAGTAAAGTTAGATTGGTGAATCGAATCATTTAATTTGGCAAATGCATTGCATGTACACGGGATAAAATTAGCAATCAAGATTATACAAAACACCATCGATTGCTCTTCGATGT